ATTTTTAAATGTTAGACCCCTGTACCCCTAGACTATCTCGGGGGTCGTAACATGTAGTTTTAATGGTCTGAAACAGGTCTAGGGAAAGCTTTGGATGCTGCTGCAAAGGAGAGGGAGTGTGAAGATCTGAAGCTGTGGAGGCCAGCTGTTATTAACCACCTCTACTGGACCAAAGCTTCCACTCCTAATGGAGGTGCAGATGTGATGGAGACCAAGTGGAAAAGAGGACATTCACAAACATGGCACTGCTAATTTAATTCATGAACATATCCTACATACACTCTTGATGAAATGCATTTATGTGTTTGTTAATTAGTCTGCAGCCGAAACTTATTATCATAAATAGTTTTATAATACATTTTCAATCTGTACAAAAACACTTTAAGGCAATTATGATGGTGATTATTTCCCCAGCGTCCGAACTGTCATTGCGATCCATTGCTTTCCTATAGTTTAAATCGGCGGCTCTCCCTCCCGTTATGTCACTTCAGGTTTGGCAGTTTTCAGATGCGGAAGTAAAATTCTCTCACAAAAACGACTCCAGAAGCTTAAATAGCTTTTTCTAAGTATATATTTAAAGAGAAACTAGTTCCTACATTATTTTTCTATACATTGACTCTCATTGACATTGACTTGGTACTCTAACCTGCAACAAGCCCTTTAATTCTTTAAATCTGCATCCTGCAATTTACCTCGTGAATGATTTAAAATAGACAGTTTGATCAAGTTTTCCATGTCCCCTGGGGAACCATCACATAAAGCACAATTTCATTACCAAAGAAATATTGGCAGGACGGGGAAAATATACAGGATATATTCTTCAAAAAGTGACACGGTGAAAGGATTAGGACAGTGGAGATTGAGAAGACTCAAAGCCAGTTTGTCTGAGGCTAAAGGCAAATGTACGTAGGAAGGACTCTTCATTTAACCCTTTAAACGCAAACATCGCCAGCGGACCCAGATTACTGTTGTTCAACATTCACTGCATGACAACACGTCACACTCTTACTTGATCTGGACACACTGAGGATCATTAGAAAGATTAAAGACTCCAGCTGCGATATTTGTCCACAAAATAACCAATCAACAATTTTGACATTTTGAATAAAATAACAACACACATTCAAATTCGGTCACGTCCGCTCCTGTTTATATCCGTTCACACAGCTGCACTGAACAGCGTCCGTTAGGGCTTAGTCCAAAAGTGGTCATACCTGGAATACGTTTACTTTTATTTTTATTAATTTTCCACTGATTTATGCGATCTGATGAGCATTAGCGGCTCTTTACTCTTCCGTGATCGCTGTTATGACTCAGAGGAAGATCATTCGCTGCACATTTGGGGTGCACAATGTTTCTACATGTGAAATAAACACACGATTAAGTAAATTATGTAGTAAATTATAGTAATAGTAAATTATTTATGTGATTCTCATGCAATTTGGCTTATTTTCATAACAAGGATTACATTTTATTGTGTACTTGGCATTTTTTTTAAGGATTACAGATTACAAATTCTATACAGGTGGAGCAATTCATATAACATATTTCAACATCATAATATGACCAAAACCCACATTAGACTGCAATTGGAAGTTGTTACACATTCATTGGTGGTTTAAAGTGAGTTTTGAGTAAAACATAGGGTTACATTCATAAGAAATGTTTTGTTTTGTTTTCTAGAAAGACTATTTATAATAGGTGGATACATTTATATTGGGATCGAATCGATGTGAAAAGGAAAGCCATGATGCCAGAACAAAGGCTAATAGCCTCTGAATAATGAAGATTAAGTCTCGTAGAGATGTGAAAGGTTTGTCAAGTGAGAACAATAGGAATATGAATGGGGCAGTTCACACCAGACTTAGACAATAGACTGCAAGGGAGCTCACAGGGGGCAATCTTTTTTTTTTACTAGCATCTTATCAGCCTTCTCTAAAAACACACACGACTGTTACCGGAGAATAGGAATTAACAGGATTTAATATAACACTCATTAACACAGGATAACTTTTACACACCATACACAAACGAGAACCAACCAGGAATGAGGGAGAACACAGGGTTAAAATACACAGAGAACAGAATAGGGAAACAAGGCACAGGTGGGGCAAATCAACTCTACACAGGTGAATAAACTGAACACAAACGAGGAGCGGGAAAACTGGAACACAGGACTGAACCAAAAACACTAAGCAGGGGGAAACACAGGACACACATGTAACAACGACATGGTCTTAGAAAATGTTTAATAAAATTCAGTTTTAGAGAACATCCTCAGATTTGAAATGAAGCGTGAGCAGACTTGTGACTTCATCAGCTTCATTGTGATTCTAAATTGCTACACTACAGCCACATAAACATTTAAAAAATATATTCTTAATATTTGTATCTTTTGTTTATATGTTTTATCCAGCCCTATATAACATGTGTGGTATAGATATGCACTTTCATGAGATTGTGTTGGTTTTATCTTATATATATCCATATAAAAAACAGTCTGAGTAATTGTGAGGCTTGAATTGTTAACTTTTTTTATTGTGGCTATGTAAATTGGGGTTTGCGTGATAAGTGGTTAATGGATTACCTGTTGTATATGCACATTCCCACTCCAAGATGTCCCGCCAAAACACTTTAGCCGGATCTTCCGGATCATTATGCCTTTTGTGCTGGGATATAACCGCATTAAGAGCGATGTTAGCTTTTGTCAGGTCTTGTATTTTAAATAATTTCTATCGTGTCTATTATGGATTAAGAAGTGGTCTTTCTTATGGATTAAGAAGTTTTAACAATTTATTTTTAACCATTAGTAGTGTGATTATTCATTTTTTATTGTACAGCTTTCATATTGATTCAAGTAGCTATATAAATAAAAACGATCTTGACCTTATTCAATCCGTTCGCCCCATGCTTTTCCAAACCACTGGTCCAATGTGGCTACAGCATAATATCATACAGGTATACAATCCTTTATAAGGTTTACACATGCTAGTTTCCATCACAGAGTTCAAAATAAATCCTTTCATTACCGCTGGAGTTGCCAGTTTGCTAAGTTTCAAATGATTATTAAACAGCAAACACAAACTATGCAAAACCGACAGCCCTTCCGGCACACTCAAGCCACATCCACACGAAGCCAAAGCTTTCCCTATCCGATGTTTTTTTTCCTCGTTTTAAAAAAAAAGTCTGGAAACACGGCGGCGTCTCGAAAAATATCTGCGTACACACGAAACCACTGAAACTGACTGAAAACGATGTAGTATACATCCCAGACCAGTATGTGGCGCTGTAATTCTGCCATAGAGATACACTAAAAATGCGAGAAGAAGACTTAGAGCATGCATGCGCATAAAACCTTGCGCGCTGTAGGCTACTATATAGACAGTAAAATAAATACTAGGCTACACAATAATATTAGGCACAGTTGCTTTTTTTCTTTTTTACCAAGAACTTTATTGAACAACCATAAATTGCCTGGTACAAAATAGGGAGTCACGATATTCGATTAGTTAGCGGACTCAGAAAGCTTGCCACAAAGAACCGGCAGAAGTAACGAATGTGTCAAATATAGACATTTTAATTGTTTATTAATAAACGAGTGTTTTCTGTGTCATTCTTGACTGAAAAGAGGAAGTTGACGAAGTTGCTGACTCGCCACTTCGCAGTATTGTGAACGCGCCTATGGAGTAGGCTAATGCACTTCATAAGGAGGCTATAAGAGAGAGTTATCTGTTTCTTTTCGTCTTGAATTGTTGTTCGATGTTGTTTAAACGTAGCTTGAAATGTCTTTCTATATATTTCTGAGTTTCGGTTAATTTATGAGACGAGCTCCAGTTCACGAGCAATGCGAGTTATATCGCGCCGGCGCGTCCATGTCCTGATTATATTGTCTGCTATAGCCTATATTTGCTTCTTATTTATTAAATCCAGGTAACTGGTTGATGAAACATTGATTAAAATTAAGATACAATTTATACAAAACGAAATTCACTTTAAAGAAAGGCTTTATACAAAACAAAACTTAATGAAGTGGTCAAAATTAGGTCTCCCGATATATTGCGCATCTTATTACTCATGCATGCGGTTCACTTTTCATAATCAACATAGATTAAATAAAAAAATAACATATATTTAAACATAAATATTAAAGTAAATACATTTCTTTAATGGCTACAACACGGCCTGCAATAACCTACAGAGAAATGTCGGAGTGGAACATTACAGGGGTGCGTTTTTTTGAATATCGTAATAATCAAATAATTCCCATCGATCGTCGAATATTATTTTTGCTTTAAATCCCCATCCCTACAAAATACGACATGTCTTATTCGGACAACAGACCAGCACCATAGCATACGAAAGAAAGTAGGCCTAAAAAAATAAATGAAATAAAAATACATTCAAGTAAATAATAAATAAAGGAATATAAGAGGCTCAGTAGTTTCGCCGCATTATATTATATTATTATACAAGCAGTTCGCCAGTTGTTGTTGCTGTTACGTGACTGTCTGACTAGTCGACACGTGGGGTGATGACATCATCGTTTCACAAAATATACGGATTGGCCGTACACACGAAAACGCAAGGGTGTCGTTTTCAGATTTATCCACCCTGGGACCCGGTTTCAAAAAATAGCGGTTTCAGTGTCCCAAAAACAAAACGGGGCCTCAGTGTTTTTCATTCACTCCTTCAAGTGGACTATATTGGTGGACAAATGTAGGGAATTGTACAATTGAAATTAATTTCCCACAGACACATATTTTCTGGTGCCATATTAAACTGCCATCTCATTTAAGACCCTTTCCACACAAATAGAGTCTCGCATGTGCATGACTTTTCAGATGCATCTCTCTTAAGTATGAATTTCCAAATAAATTATTACACATCCTAATTTAATCAGAATTATTATTATTTTATTTCATAAACCTCTTTCCACAGTCTAAAAACTGCAATTTCTTTCCCTGATGATCTTGTAAATGTGTCAGGATTTGTGTACCATCTCACACTGAAGACACGTAAAGCCTCATGTGATTGTTAAAGTTTCCTTTAAATCTGAAGCTCTTTCCACAATGATGGCATGTGTAAGGCTTCTCTCCGGTGTGAACTCTCATGTGAGTCTGAAGGTTTCCTTTAGATCTGAAGCTCTTTCCACACTGAGGGCAGGAGAACGGCTTTTCTCCGGTGTGAACTCTTATGTGAACCCTAAGCAATGCTTTGACTGTGAAACTCTTTCCACAGTGATGGCACATATTAGGCTTCTCCCCAGTGTGAGTTGTTACATGTTTCTTAAGGTGATTCTTGTCTGTGAAACTCCTTCCACACTGATGACATACAAAACACTTCTCCCTTGAGTGAATATTCGTGTGGTACCTAAGTGTTTCTTTACATCGGAAACTCGTTCCACACTGAACACATATGAACGGCCTCTCTCCAGTGTGAATTCTCATGTGAGTGTTAAGATTTCCTTTTAATGTGAAGCTCTTCCCACACAGTTTGCAGGTGTAAGGGCTCTCTCCAGTGTGAAGACTCATGTGGGAATTAAGGTTTCCTTCACGCGTGAAACTCTTTCCGCACTGAACACATGTGAACGGCTTCTCTCCAGTGTGAATGTTCATGTGAGTCTTCATGTTTCCTTTTTGGGAGAAGCTCTTCCCACACAGTTTGCAGGTGTAAGGCCTCTCTCCCGTGTGAACTCTCATGTGAGCCGTAAGTTTCCTTTTGAGTCGGAAACTCTTTCCACACTGGTGGCACACAAAAGGTTTCTCTTCGGAGTGAATTTTTACATGCATTTTAAGCCGTTTCATGTCTGGGAAACTCTTTCCACACTGATGACATCTAAAACAGGTCTCTCTTGAGTGAATCCTCATGTGGTAATTAAGCTTTTCTTTACATTTGAAACTTCTCCCACACTGAACACATTCAAACAGCTTCTCGCCTGTGCAAATTCTCATGCGAGTCATTAAACTTTCTTTCTGTGAGAAGCTCTTAATACGCAGTTTGCAGGTGTAAGGCTCCTCTCCAGTGTGAACTCTCCTGTGGATTTCGAGGTTTTGTTTTTGTGTTAGATTAGAATTGTTAATTTTGGTCTTAAGGGCTCGTGTTTTCCGTGAGGTTATCTTTTCAGTCTCAAACTGGTTGTTCTCTTCCACTTCATTGAGTTCTTGACTCTCCTCTTTCAACGCCGTCAGGTCTAAGGTTAAAAGAGACAAATAACAAATTAACCCCAGTGTCATAAGTTTACCTGTCTTGATAAATGATAGTGAACAAATTTGGCTGTTGCAGTGTACAAGTATTGGGCAGAGGGGCTAGAACACAATATGCTGCTGTGGCAATGGAGAAAGTAAAGGTTGAGAAAGGTAGCAGGAGGGAATACAGTTTGAATTACATACTGGAATGACATGGCTTACAGGCTACTTATGAATTTATCTTTGAAAGATAAACATTTAATGTTGCCTTGAACATTCTGTGTACGATGAAAACGAGTCCACAACCGCAGCATTTTCTGTCAGCAATATATGACAAGCCGACTCTGGCTGCTAGTTTAACGTTTAGTTTAATTGTCATCAATCATAGGCGACTCCAAAAAATAGATGCAGAAATATTTTTTAAAGTCTTAATAATAAATGTTTTCTAAACTTGGGCTATTGTTGTTCACTCACAATATTTGTTCATTTAAAATGAAATGACATTTTTAAATGATTATCGTTAAAAAAATTATCTGCCGACACTCGGACTGCCAACCAATCCGCAAACAGCTGCTGACGGTCTGATAGTAATGGTGTGTTCACACCGAACGCGAATAGAGCGTCAAATACGCGTCTAGTTCGACGCTTGAACATCCGCTCGAGTTCAGATTTTTCAACTTGCGCGGAAGACATTCGCAGCAAATGCGTCGCCCAATTCGCGTCATTCACAACGCCCGGCGCAAATGATGCGTCTATTCGCGTCTTTGCATTGACTTTGTATGTAATCCACTCGCGCAAATAATTAAAGCGTTCGGTGTGAACACACCATAACAGGTGCTGTTGAGGCTCGCGCCTCATGAGGAGAAATGAAAACAAATGAGCGCAGCTCACACACAGAATCTCACTGAACGGACAGCCGTAAAAATTCATGTGGAGTTTTTATGTTTATAACATATGATACAGTTAAGCAACATCACATGACCAAAGCCCCTTTCACACAACGCTTTGAACCCGGCAAATTGCCGGCAAATTGCCAGAGTGCCTTCTGTGTGAACGCAAACACGACCCGGGACTGATGCCGGGATCGATGCCGGGTTGGGGACCTAGTAACATTGCCGTGTTCAGACCCGGAACGCACGCTGTGTGAACAAAAGCCGTAACCAATGCCGTGTCGTAATGATGATGCTGAAGTGAAGTGAAAGCAGGCTAGTGAAACGGTACGTAATGCGCTAGTTTATGATCGAATCAGAGAAAAAAATGCACTAGCGTGGTTTCTCCAGAGAGAAATCGCAGCTCATAAGCAAACTATATGTTGCTGAGACATTACATGTCACATCGATGTCACGTGTCTTTCCGGAACATACACGGGTTGTGTGTGAACGCGCTCTCTGATTCCGGCAAATCACTGGCAGTGTGAATGAAGCAAAATCAAACGAACCCGGGTCAAATCCCGGGTTGCTTTATCCGTGTATTTTCCGGAATCTCTGTGTGAAAGGGGCTCAAGAGTGCTGAATACCATCAATGACCCATTAATGAATAAATGCCTAATTCCTGAACGAATCAACAGTTTGAAATATTTCAACCGTCGCCATTACTGAATCATTCTCCGCACAGTGGAAAAGCTGCAGACGGCAGTTCAGCGAGGACAACACACGGTAAGAATAGATACAATATGCTTTATTTGTACAGTTACTTAGCCTGTAACATTACCATTCATACCCTTCAACATACCGATGTTTTTATTTCTGAAATGATTGTGGCAAACCAAGTTAGCAAATTGTCATTAGCTTAGATTTGAGTAAAAAATTTATTTGGTTGGAATTCTTTCTCTCTGGGAGGCGAGGAGGTTTAATTAACGGAAGTTAACGTTAGCTGTCCGGATTTTTATCAAAACCTGAGCGCATATTTTCTCCCCTTTACAGTAAAATGTCAGGCGAGAAATGATCGTGTTAGGCCTAAAGTTACTTCTTTTAAACTGAATTGTTTACATTTTGACAGTTCCACCACAACATGCAAGTTAATGTTGTTTCCGAAAATGAATTAATATTATATTAAATTATGATACTGTACGCATGCACGCACGCCCTTGTGTGTGTGTGTGTGTTCTGTTGCAGCTTACAGTTTGTTCAAGTGCCACCAGTTTCATCTTTTCCGGACATCTGAGTAAAGTAAGATTTAAATACTTTTTCAAACTTGATTTAGTCATTGTTTTGTCAAATACTGACACTGGTCCACACTACAGCATTTAACACTGTACTGGTATACTAGTTTGAGTCTATTTTTGTTTACATCATGATGACAAATAAATTCTCCAGCACCTCCCCATGTAATGTTGTTTCAGATAATTATTTCATATCATATTAAGAAACTGTGTGTGTGTGTGTGTGTGTGTGTGTGTGTGTGTGTGTGTGTGTGTGTGTGTGTGTGTTCTGTTGCAGCTTAGAGTTCGTTCAAGTGAAATTCTTGAAACAGGAAGTTAAATTTCTCTGGTGCTGTTTGTTTCTTTCCTTCTCGGTTCCTTAAGGATGTTCCACTTAATTGAGTTCCCGGATAAAACTGCTGCAGTCATTTTGCCACAAAAGTAGTGCAGCGATGGAGTGGTCTATTGGCCAAACTAACCCTTGCCCATATATACTGGTTTATTCACATGCTGAAAGTAAAAAAAAAAAATAAAGGATGTTCAAACTAAAACCAGCACAACAAATAAGCAAATATTTAATGCTGTTGAATGTTTTGTTTGCACTTCATCAGAACTACCTCCTATCTACTGAATAGCAAGATGTTAAACTTGTGTTTAAAGAAAAGGCAGGGCCTGCCATCTTGTCTTTTTGGCTTGTTGTTTAGGATCAAATGACTGAGTTCAGCTTTGAGAATGAAACCAACCTGTGTGTTCCTCAGTTTCTTCATGTTTCACTATCAATGTTTCTTCAATCTTCACGTCTTCACTCTCCTCTTTAATAAACGCCATCTTTATAGTAGTGTAACGTGAATCTCAGTCGCTTCACCAGGAGTTTTTCTGTGTGTTTGTCCTGTTTAAGATGAGAATAATTAACAGAAAGAAAAATAAATCCAAACTAAATGTGTGTGTGTCTCAATCAGATCTAGTTCAGTTCACTGGTAAGAGAGTCAGGCAGAGAGAGAGAGTTAATGGACTTTAATAACAAATTATACAAACACTTTATATTTAGTTATGATTTATATTTGGTATTTAATTTGTATAATATAAATTAAATACATGTAAAGATTACATTTAACAGATCACACTTTCATGAAAACATTAGCAGTTGGTTGGCAAAACAATTACGTTTGTGTTTGTTCTCGTTGCATTGACACTGTTTGACCAGCAGGTGACGTCAGATTGAGGTGATCCGAGCTATTCGAATCAGTGAATCATTTTACGAATCATTTGGTTCAATTTAGTTTAAAACACTCCATTTCTCCATCACTACTTGCCAGTAACAGAATTCATGTTTATGATGAACTGATTGACGATACAGGGAGCGAAACTAGACGCTCCTTTTCTGTTACTCGTGTATAGATTTGCTTTACTTGCACAAAACACCGTTCATTAATATTAGATTTAAAAATACGTTACATTCTGATTGATTAATTTAGTTTTACATAGCTTGTAAAAACGATTAGATTGATATAAGAGTTTGCATTGATATAAACACTTTATATGGTAAAAATACAAACCTTTCTTCAGCCGAATCACAACAGATGCAGGAGTGCGGCGCAGCTTTATGACGTCACACAACAAAACCAAAATAAAAGTCCCGTTCACACACTGCTGCAAACGTACACAGACATTTACACATATATATATATATATATATATATATATATATATATATATATATATATATATATATATATATATATATATATATATATATATATATATCATATTAAGAAATATTAATTTCTAAAGAATGTGAGATTGTGTCCAATGGCCAAAACTATAATGTTTGGGTGCAGAAACTTTTTATACCACATATTACAGTATTAATATGAAATGAGTTACAAAATAAGCTACAAATGTGTTTACAAGTTAAAAATACATGTTAAAACAGTATATGATTTAATAAAGTAGAATTCATATGATGTCAATTTGGGGTGGGCAATATGACCAAAATGTTATTTCAAGATATAAGAGATTTTAATTCAATAGTGATACTAATAAAGATATACGGTCCTCATGATGCGTTGCTCTGCATGAGGGAAAGAACTCCAATAATTCCACAATGTGTTTTTATTTTCGTGATTTTAATTGGAATTCCTTTTTATATTGTAAAACTGAAAATACAGAACACACAAAATACATCAATATACATACACACTAATAAAAGGCTAAATACAAAACTAACTGCTGGCAAATAAATGAGCTCTATACATTTCTGAATGACACTTCCAGATTGTGAATTTGCATGCTATAGTGCAGGGGTTTCACCCCGGGGTCGCAGAGGGGGAAGAGGAGGGTCGCGCAGCAGCAGCTACATTTACGTTTCATGAATGACACACACACAAACAGGTTGCACGATGTACCAACGTTAAATAGAAATTGCTATATTGCTTTTCGATACGCAAAGACAGTGTCTTAATTTGATAAATATGTCAGCATTGTTTCATGAAGTGCGTCCGACTTCTTGTGATAACGTTTTTGCTTTTGGCTACCTACCAACATGAAAATATGTATGTAAAAAGTTTTTCACACGTACACACACACACACACACACACACACACACACACGAAAGCATTTTCTGCGCTGAACACCGCGATGAGTTTAACAACACTCACAGCATAAATATTACTATTGAAATTTTACAGTTCTAGGCCTACTATCAAATACAATTATTAGTCTATTTTTTTTGTAGTTCAGATTATTATTATTATTTTTTTTAGATCAAATTTAGGCTACTTTTTTCATTTCTTTAAATTTGTCTGGCATGTCTGTGTAACTCAGTTGAGGCAGCAGACTAAAACTACTCTGTATTCTTCATATTTCAACAGCCATAAGGCTGCTATTTTAATCGTTATCAAAAATGAACAGCCACTAGATGGCAGAGGTACTCAATCAATAACTTCTCATAAAGTCCTCATAAAGTCATGAAGAAGGCAGCCTGGCACTATTAGTACCACCATTGATCTTTAATATTAGTAACACAATCTTAAGGAAGTTATGATCTTTCTGAAAGAAACTCAGTTTGCAAATAGAATTTAGAATTATTATTTTTATTTTCCTCTCGTGTAAACTGACAGTCCAGTGAGATCACACCTCAGCCCAGAAGATGGCGGTAATGCGCCTCGTTTGCAAACTACAGAAGAAGAAGAAGAAGAAGAAGAAGAAGAAGAAGCATCGGTTGTGATTCGGCTGAAGAAAGGTTTGTGTTTTAAGTGTTTAAACCTATAGAAACCATTTAATCGTCTTCAAAGTTTTACAAGCGAATTGTTTGTTATTAAATGTAACATTGCATTATCTAACATTACTTACGCTCTGCGAGTAAAGTAACATAATGAAAACACGAGTAATATTAAAGGTGCGTCTCATTCCGCTCTCGATATTGTGAATCAGTTCATCATAAACACGAATTCAGTCACTGGCAAGTAGTGATGGAGAAAAATAGCTTTTGGAAACTCCGAGTCAATTTATTGGCAACAACTGATGTAGGGATTCAAAGCGCTCTTAATTAAACTCAGTCAAAAAAAAAAAAACTTCACAAAATAATTCAGTGAATCGAAACACCAATGCAACAAACACAAACGTGTAAATTGCAGATTGTACAAGCTAATAGCAATTGTTTTCGTGAAAATGTCAACCATAATTGGCTAAATATTAAGTGTCTGTATAGTTTGTGTTCTTTTATTAATTTGCAGTGCTAGTTTAGAGTGTTTTTAGTCTAATCAGGTCCATTAACTCTCTCTCTGACTGACTCTCTTACAGTGAACTGAACTAGATCTGATTGAGACACACACAGAGTGTTTTAGTCTAATCAGGTCAAGTCACCTTCATGATTTTACAATATATATATTTTTCAAAGCAGCTTTACAGTGATAATAGGAAATTAAAGTAACATAGATTGTTTTGGCTTTACAGCAGCTGTAGAATAAACTTATTGTACAGCTTAAGTTAGTTTTGATTAAATCACTTCCATCAAAACCGGTGGCTCGAGAACGTAAGCCATGAAATAGGGTCCAAGGTGCAAGCAGGGCTCCAGACTAACTTTCTCAGTTGGTCGGATCAGCACATGATTTTGTGGCTCTTTTTTTTTTTTGCAACAACATAGGATTAATCAATGCATGCTGATGAGTAGTTGTCTCAATCTTTTCATTTTTATATGACTTAATTCCTAAATTTCCTGAATTCCTAATGGACTATATGCACGGTTACTTCCTGGTTTTCGATTAGCCAGCTCGGGCATTTCCGGTGAACATTCTGTACTCACTGTATATCCACACACCACCAACAATGGTTGACTTTTTGAAGGATTAGTTCACTTTTAAAAAAACTTTTGCTGATAATTTACTCACCCCCATGTCATCCAAGATGTCCATGTCTTTCTTTCTTCAGTCGAAAAGAAATTAATGTTTTTGATGAAAACATTCCAGGATTTTTCTCCATATAATGCACTTTGCTGGGCACCAAACGGTTCAAGGTCCAAATGACCGTTTCAGTGCAGCTTCAAAGGGCTTTAAACGATACCAGACGATGAATAAGGGTATTATCTAGAGAAACCATCTGTCATTTCAAAAATAAATATAAAAGTTAAAGTTTTATAGGCACAAATGCTCGCCTTGCGAACTCTCCTGTTCGAACTCGTTCATCAAAATTAGCGAGTCAATGACTCGAAAAAAGATTCGTTCATTTTGATGAACGAGTTCGAACAGGAGAGTTCGCAAGGCGAGCTGGATCACTCCTCCATAGGCTTCTTCAGAAAGTCAGTGAAGAAAATGTTTAAATAGTCCATGTGACGAGAGTTCACGAGTGTGTCACAACGCGCGAGAACTTGGAAGTTGTCAGGACAACGACAACGACAACAACAACAAGAAGTAGTAGAAGAAGAACGTCATCTTCCAAGCAGAGGAAAAACACTGAAAAAAAAAAAACCGAATAGTTGAATAAAGTCGTTATTTTTTTTTTAATTTTTTTTTCGCACAAAGAGTATTCTCATCGCTTTATATACTTATGTTTGAGCCACTGTAGTCACATGGACTATTTAAACATTTTCTTCACTGACTTTCTGGGCCGACAAGTTTCAATCCCTTAAGAAGCCTATGGAGGAGTGATCCAGCTCTCAGATTTAATCAAAAATATCTTAATTTGTGTTCCGAAGATGAACGAAGGTCTTACGGGGTTGAACAACATGAGGGAGAGTAATTACTGACAGAATTTTCATTTTTGGGTGAACTATCCCTTTAAAGCTAATGTGAACGTTGGATTAAGAAACACAATGTATGTATTTGGACACGCACACGCAACATTTTTCCAGCACTTCAAATGTTATTTTTAATGTGATGACCAAAAACATTTGTTCATCCTTCTGAGATTGTTCCCATTTCTAAAACCAAACGTTTCAAGGATTAGGAAATCCAATTTTTTTTAGAAAACACTTATTTAAAATAATAATAGAATTACCACTAGCTATATCCAGAAGATGGTGGCAGATGAGCATTTATTGGCTGAATATTAGCCATTTCCTGTTATTTTTTTCGCTTTTGAATAAATATATTATAAAATCATTAGGTTTAAAAATAAACTTAGTCAAGGTGAAGTATCAAGTATTCATAAAAGTCCTGTGAAAAACAATAACTGTCAGTCAGTGTTGCTGCCAGCGTAAGCTCACTGATTTCGGCAAACTTGTGAAAACTCCAGTTTTGTTCAATAAATCTAACTGTAGAAATTACTAAAGATTTAGTGTGTACTTTAGTGTGTTGATGCTTTGTTTTCAAACGAAAGTGTGAATGATGATCGAATTTAGCTGAGGAATACGCCTTTTTTTATGTTGTCTTACATTTGAATAAATAAATGGATGCTAGGTCTGACTATTTAAGTGACTATATTCTGATTATAAACTTAAGTATTACAATATTGATGCTGTTAAAGCTACTTCAGGACATGCAAGTGACATTTCACCGGAGGTTTTCCAGCTGGCTTATATTATTGCGGAAGTTTTAAAGAACTGCATAGTTCATTGGCGTGTTTCATCATCAGTGTGCAATGCGCATGTGCGTTTGCTCTCTAGCGGTTAATAAACAGAACTGGATGCGTCTTGCGGAAGAACATTGTAGCCGGTAGGGCCGGGCGGTATGACGGTATATATCGTTACCGCGGTAGAAAATGTCAACCGTAACAGATTTTTTTATTCCGTGTATACCGCGACATGTAAATAAGTGGGCGTGGTTACTCCCGTGCAGCGTGCGTGAGACTGAGACACTGAGATTTGTCAAAGAAACATGGAGAAAGCAGATCAAGAGGATCCACAAAGGAATTACGTTTTCTAAAGGGTAGTTGTTAACGTGATATTTTCGGGAAGAAAGGCGCAGCCGTCACTAGAGCAGTGCAGCACCCGTAGGCTACAGTTTAGAGGAGTGCACGCTCGCAACGGGGAAAGCATGAAGCTTACTTGATAATAACAGTTCATATATCAATATCGTAACGAATAGAAATAACCTTAAATAATGTATAGTTATCTGCATCTTTCCATCTCTTACTTTTTAAACACGAAAATCGCATTCAGCATGACACACAA